TTGTTATATGTCATACCTAAATCGATGAGAAAAGGTATTGTAGTAAAATTTCACGATCTTTTGGCATTTCACAGGCAGAACGTTGCCAAAATCAGGAATCATATAGTTTAAGGATGCAACGATATGTTAGCGTACATTCGAGTGTTTGAAGCCTGTAAATAAAATGTCTAATGGTAAGAAACAAGAGTACTGCATCTAATAGACTGTAAAGACCTCTTGCAATATACTATAGATCATTTAGGACATTCGTAAACGTTCAAGAGGAATAAGAATTTTGTAATAATTGATATTTTACGAGATTTACACGCCTAGATCCTAGAAAGTACTGCCAAGTATGGGGCAGAAAGAGGTTTGTGATGATTTTGGTTACAGAAAAATTCTCAGCGATAGAGAACATGTTCAAGCGAAGGAATTTCGAGAGTACTGTCAAATATGGAATCAGTCATAACTCAATCAACTCAGCATCAATGGTAATGAAGGGTGGACTCCTACTAGAATGGTGGACTCTTGATGCACGACTTCCACTTACTGATTCTACGACATGTTTGATTTTCTTTGAAAACTATCAGCAAGTGCTTATTTGGAACTTCTTTAAAATCCACTGGAAACACAAATTACTTTCCAAGATTAGTCGAACTGAAGATCAAGCTTGAAGACTAAACCTTTTGCAATTGTTTATCAAGCACTACAGGTTAAACTCCAACTTTATTCCCAGCATACTGCGGTTAGATGTTGACATACAGCGGTTAGATGATGATTAATGTATATCATTCTAAAGAGATAAAAGGCGATATGTTCGCAGGGCAGCGAACAAGAGCTGGAATATGATTTATTTAAGAAGAAATCTTGACTCAGAATGATTTCAACTTTATTCGCCGTTAGATAATAAAAATTTAGGTTTCCAAATTGAAATCATTATTGGCTGAAGCCTTTTATATAAGTGCACTAGCAGCTACACGGCCAGCCTTCGTCTGGCTTTTAAATGAGCCGGGAAAATGCTGAAGGGAATACAAAATATTAAATTTAAAAACTGCTCAGAATTTTACTCTGTAGAACAAATTTATAAAAAAATGTATCACATATAACAAAAATTACAATGAAATAAGCAATATCCCTTAATACAAATATTAAATTATCCTAATAAATAAATTAACCAACTTCTCCGTTGTCTTCTCTCAACAAACGTCCAGTATCCAAGAAAAACATTAAATTTAAAAACTTCACAAAATTATCGCCCTCATTTTTCAAAGTGGCAACAGAGCTAATTTTCAGTCAGCAGTCCAGTATACAATTGAATGAAAAACTGCTGCCAAAACCACATTTCTAAAAAAATGAAACTATTCAGAATGATGTGATAAAATCGAAAAGATAAAATTAAAAAAAATCTCATTCGAATTTTGAAAAACTCGTTTCGAGGTGCACTGGATCTTGTCTAGATGCACCTATATACCAAATTTCGTAGCCCTAGGTCTATTAGCTTACGCGCAGCACGAACAAAAGACACACAGACACTTTCTTTTATTATATGTAAAGACTAGCATTATGCAGAAATTATACGACATGGATTAATTTTGAAGTGACATAGTATAGAAAGATATACAAGCAGTTGCTATTTTTTGGGAAAAAGTTGAAATACTCAAATTGAAATAATTTTTAATTAAAATTAGAATAGGGCGAATATAGAGTTTTTGTTTTGCAATTTTTTTTATTATTTATGTACTGTATAGGTACGTAACTATAGAAATAAAACAATAGAGCTAGTAGATATAAGACGCTAATCAATCCAAAAAGTAAACTTTCTTATGATTTCATTGTACATCGTTAAGATTACGCTTTTATTCTAAAGCATGTGAAATATTCGTCCTTATAAGATGAAAGTTTCTCTAGCCTGTAAATATCTTTATTACATACTCGTGATATTTTTTCACTATTAAAATTACGGAATGCTGAATTGTGCGTATGCGAGTAAGTTTTGATGGGAAATCGTAAATGAGAACCGCCTTTGTTTCACTTCAGAGTGAAATGGAAATTATTTTGAGATTATTCCCTGGTGGTTTAAATTAAAATTACCAACTTTGTTTAACACTTCTTCTGGTGATTTTGATTTGCTTAGCGCCTCTTTTTCCTTACAAAGTAATATTGAGAGTTTTAAGAAATGTCATTTGAATATGATTTGTGGGCAATGACTGGAAACAAAAATATTTAAAGTATTCGCAGTCAGACTGCGTATACGAAATTTCGCAAGCTACTCTTATTAATGGAAAGACCTTCATAGATTTGACTTGTCTTCCTAAAATACATTATTTTACTGATGATTTACTCATATATTTGTCCAATAAATTATTTTCTAAATGTTTTGCAAGGTCTTAATCTTCCTTTCGTACTCACAACTTGCTGGTTTAAGACAAAAAGACCCTATAAAGTATCATTATCGATCGTATTACGAGAAAATTTTGAAATATTCTGAAAATTTTAATATTTATAATATTTAAATTCTGAAAGTTTTCAGATTTTATATTACGCTCAAAGGGGCGTTTTATTTATTATTTTTTTCCTTTACATACACATACACGTTTTGAGAGCATTTGGGTTAATTCCCTTTGGGCTAAAAATATTTAAAAACAGCATACCTTTAGAATTTCCCATAGATAGTCTTCACTCCGGAAAAAAAGAATTTTTTTTCCGCACAATGTTGCCATTGCTCGCTTTGAAATCGTTGAGTTCGTTAATCAAAATTGCATTTAAGTTCTACAAAATATAAAATTACAATGAAACGAATTCCGAATTCGGGCTTCCATGTGCCCATATTCGGGTGAATGATTACATTCTCTCTTTGAGTTAATAATAATAATGTGCATGAAAAATGTAAAACTCAAAAAGTCGAATTTACCGTATTTACTACTATGTCTATACATATACCTGTGTGTACACATACCTAAGTCACAATACCTAATGACCTGGAAACGTACACCACAGCTCCTGATCGGCAGCAGATGCGTTAGGTTACTATTCCGCATCGTGTAATTATTACTGAAAACTAAGCAATACAGAAATAGATTGATAATGCTTTAGGCTTTCCAAAGCATTTGTAATAATGGACCTGACAAAAAAGACGTAAATTCCTGCCTGCTGGTATCTGTTCAAAGAACATTCTACTTACACATAGTAGGTAATATTGCAAATACCGAACTTCTGTCCATGTTTCATGCCGAATGTTTATAGAATATTGTACTGGTAGTTCATTATCTGTACAGCTAAATGTAAAAATTGTTTAGGAATCAAATTTTTTGCAAGAATGTTCTCATTAATTACTTGGGATGCCTGTTACTGCCAGACGAACATAACCGCCCTTCCCCCAAGATCCTCTCAGCAGCTACTTTGAAAATCTATGGTTTAAATGTATTGCTTTTAATCTACCATGCATACAAACGGTGACCAATCCGAAAGCTCAGAAATTAATGTTCTTGAAGTTTTCTTGAATTAAAAACATCTATTACACCAAAAACTTTGATTATAACAGTGGAAAACTACTGCCTAGAATAATAGTAATAATAGTAATGGAAGATCTTTTATATCTAATTTTAGTATACACACCACGTGCGGCAGTGCACACGCCCAAATGATAAGCGGTTCCTTATCAGAGGGATCTTGCAGAGATCACTATCTGATTATTAGTTCCTTTCTAAAGGACAACTGAGATGAGATTTCAGTCAACTGAGTTTTGAATTAACGTCAGTAGGTAATATCTATCTCTCTCTCTCTCTCTATATATATATATATATATACACACACAACATATCCGCCTTGTCTATACACATAAACTGGAAGAAGTATTTGGCCTACCAATCCTTTATGAAGTGTGGGTTCAGAAAGAAGGCCAGCTTCGTGAGACAATGTTCCACATTGGGCCTTTCATCTAGAAACTCAGGCAGGTCCAACATGTCACAATACATAAGTCCGGCTAAAATTTCCCGATTTTCTGTATTTTATTAGGGTTCAAAAAGCTTTCAGATTCTCTTTCAAACAATGAATATTTCTGTCGCTGATTATATTCTTATAAATGCATCATTAGAAATTGCTTGCATCATTTCAATTCCCTTTGTATTTTAAAAACCATTAGTTTCCCATTATGCTACGTATAAATTACCTGAATGCAGTATAATAGTTGTGGTTTTTAAATTGTTAAATTTTCTAAGTAACAAATAATTAAACTTATGAATGTGTAACAGCTTTTCCATCTCTTGCACCAATATTTTTTAAAGTCGACTTTTTACAAAAAGCTCTTCCAGAAACATTAAAAATTCTTCAGAGAAAAATTAAATTATTTAAAAATAAATTCCAGATATTTACTAAGGAACATGTTCACGTTTTTAAAACAAAAATGGGATGGATTTAAATAATTTTATATTTTTTTTCATTCTAGGTAATACCTTCAATACTGCTTTATAATAATTTTGAATAGCATTAAGAGGCTTTGTTATTTCGCTTTAGTTCATAAATTATACCTTATGAATACCAAGAAAATATTACTGTTTCAAACGTACGAATTTCGCGACCAGGAAGAATAAAAATTGTTATCATTTTATTTGAAGGGAATGATTACTATTCTATGAAAGATTCAAAGGAAAAAGCGCAAAATTATATCAAGCAATGTTTTCATTCATTAAATAATTATAAAAATCTCCATATGAGGCCAATTTATGATGTAATAATATTATAGCAAATAACTCTTAACCGCCTAGAAAAACTGTTTTAAATATGATGCTATGTTCTACATTTTGAATTTTGAGGAATTAATTCTTAAACCAATAGACTTGTCGTAACCGCTTAGTTAAAACTAATTTTAGTGAACATTTGCATACTTGTTTGTTTATTTATTTTACCATTTTTCAGTAATAAATTCTTTTTTTAAGTATTAGACTGTTATAAAATTCCTCATAAACACTTATATATTTCGGCAAAAAATGTATTGCTTAATAAATGACCTTCTTCTTTCTTAGAGATGGAAACTGTAACTTTAAAAATACCATAAGTGGATACCCAGCCATTCGTCTCTGCTCGACGTGGTGGAATTCTGAGGTACGTATCTTGTGTGTTCATTTTTTTCTAAGTGCTTTGGCATTTATTGACTTTGACAGTAAGTAAAAATATATTTGGTCCTTAACACAGTTCAACGAACAAAATTAAATAAATTGTTTACTAAAGTTATTATTGTATTTATTTGTTTTGCCCTTTTGATACAAATATTGGACTAATGAAAAGAGCTCTGCCTATTGCTTTGGTGGAAAATCTAAAATCGATTACTTTAATACAATTCAGTTGAATAACAGGGTTTCTAAATCTTAATAACTTGTTACATTTTCTTGCAATTAAAAATAAGAAGTACCACTTGCATATGTATCATACTGAAAAATTCGAAAAACATTTAATACATTCCAGAGAAAAATTTATGACATGTAAAAAAGCATCAAAAAGCAGAAAATACGGAACACAAATATACAAAAGTAAGCACATGGCTCTGTACATGTAAATCAAAGCCATATCATGTGCATATGGTTATTTCCTTAAATATGTATGCGATGCACATAAATATTTATGTAAAATTATCTTTTAAAAATATCTCCGAAATTTTTAAGTGTCGTTTAGCATTTATATGTTTCTGCAAAATTAAATTTTTTGTCGTGTTTATTTAATTTCATAAAATGCATTTCTGAAGTTTCAGTTCGTTATTTGAGTACAACCAAAAATTTCAAAACTTTATTTATCTATTGAAAAGACGTTAAATGTTTAAAGAATAAGAGTTTTATTTTTTAAAAGCGCCATTCTGAAACTTCATATTTTGGTGTATAGTTAGCATACAAACCGAGGTTCCTATTTAAATATTGTACTACGAGTATAAGGTATTAAACGCATTGTTTATAAGCATGCTTTTCACTGGGAAAGGTTTTGATGAATAATCACTGTTGTTTTCTGAGGTTATTAACTTACCGTTTTAAGAAATATCTAAAGTCGTTATACATCTAGCAATATTATAATAAGCCATCACTGTAGTTAAAAAGAACCTCTTCAGCACCCTGAATATATCATAATGAATTACTTGCAACATTTTTTTTCGCGTTTCTGTTAAAGCTTAAAACTTAAGGAAGGCATATTTTTTTATCCTTAAAGAAATTGCTATGTTTCAGGAAGTTCTTCTCGAGTCTGGAGTGGAGGAGCTCTTGATGGGTATGGCATCTCAAGTATCGGAGAGGGAAGACGCTATCCTTTGTAGCGATGTCCGAGGTAAATGTCGCCATGTCACTCTCATTTAATCAAGAGAAATTATATTGTAGATATGTTTAGTAATGTATTTGCGTTTAGGTATTAATGTTTTAGTAGAAGAAAAAAGATAAACTTAATTTTGGTAAAAATAATAATAAACTTAATAGTAATAAACTTAATAGACGATTGTATTTTTAATACGTTATGCTCTCCTGCTTGTGGTCTGTATTTATTGAAAAGTGAACAAACTATATCTAGTGTCATTTAGTAAGATTGGAAATACATCTGAAATACGTGTTCCTAAAGCATTTATTTTTTCTTCTGTCTTGATAGCTCTTCCTTTTTCTGAAAGTAGTATCATAATTATAGTAAATGTTATAAATTGCATGTAGTTTAAATTGCTTATTAAAATATAAATTTAAAAATTAGATTATTAATAACTAAGGAAGTTTGAGAGTATCACAATTTTGATAAGCTATAGAAAACGCGAAAAATTTATAAGCGTATGAGGAAAACGAATTTCAGGAGTTGCTCATGGTTTATTTGATTATGGCAAAGCACTCGAGGGCTATCTGCCTAAGGCAAGAGATACCTTCGTGGAGGACTTTCTAAGGGAACCTAACTTGTATACACGTTACACTCGAAGCAACACCACGAAAACGCCCATGCAGCCAGCCTGTTCGTCGGGTTTCGAACTCCGTACTGTACTACTACTGTTCAGCGACTAACCGCTCGTCGTCAGTGGCCGTATTAGTACTTGCTCAGTATTCAGTCATGCCACAGATTGTGAAATTGTTAGATCTTACGTTCTCAAATCAAGGTTAAAATGATCACGCTTTCGTCAAAATTGCAGCTGCAATACGATTGAATTTCAGTGCAGAGCACAAAACAGTACACAAGAATTTGAATTTGATGTATGGAAGTTATACGTTGTTGAAATGCAAACTGTTGTCCATGATTTGCTCTCTCTAGGTGTCCCACTAAATTCATTGAATGAGACTTAATTAAGCTTACATGACAGTAGAAAAGTGAATAAAACTTACTCTTATTTCTAAAATGTGTCTATGTTGCCTTTGGTTGTTTGTTTATTAATCCTCGCTTATATGAGTCTAGAATACGATAGAAAGCAATCAAGTAGGGTATTGATAAAACTTGATATGACTAAGTATGACAAACAAGGATTCAAGAAAGGGAATTAAAAGTATATGCTATGAATATCTCATCGTTGTTTTAATTTTTAATCGACGAGTAGCTCCCTAACAACTTACAGCAATCCCAAAATCAAGTTTATCGTTTACTGTGAAAAATGAAGGTGCTAGAAATGACAGTTAACGTAATTGCTTAACATCGCTTATTTTTTCACAGATGTAGGTCTGGCAAAGCACTAAAAACATCTCGTAAAACTGCCGTAAACTCCTCTAGCCTGTTTAAATAAAGGTCTCACTTTTTTTGCCGTTCTTTCACAAAAGCTGAACGATTTTTCGCCTTTATTTTTTACGAAGACTAAATTTCTCTTTGGAATTCTTTCTGTTAGCGATACATATTGTCTTTAGTTAAACCGAAGTGACATGAACTGAATTGTTTGTACCCTAGTATCTGGAAGATACACCTTACATTGAAAATGATTTAATACTGGAAAGTGTATAGGGAAATGTTTAGTGGTCTTATTGATATGTATAATAGTTTCAGTTTCGTTCTCAAATACGTAAGTATGCTTGATATTCATTTCCCAGCTGATAACCAGGACATTATAATCCGGTTATTCTAAGCTTTAGCCACATTTCTTTCTTGAAGCAATCTAAAAGCCACTAAACTTTTAAAAGCTTGGAACCTTTCATGTAAGATTCCCCATCAGGAGACTAATTGCTGCTTGGTCTTCCTCCGTGCCAAAAATTAATTTATTAGAGGCGGTATAAAAGTTCTTAATTTATTTTCCTAACAGAAAAAAGAGTAATATCTTGTATTATTTATGCTTTATTTACAATTGTGATCGAGTCAATAAATTATTCACGTACGTGAATATCCTCATTAATTGTGTTATGTGAACAGCATGCGAAGAGAGTATCTATCAAGTAACCAAGGCTTTATATTATCCTTTTGACTGTCAGCGCAGTTGTTTACGACCATTTCTGGTATCAAATTCACTTTTCAGAGGTATCCATACACAGACGTCTCATCAGTAATGAAGCGAGAAAGGACTTAGTCAACATTATCTCTACAGTACAATTAAACTCGTTATTCGGATTCTAAATATTCCAAATTCAAACGATCGGGATCACATTCTTTATCTGGACAAAATAAAATTCTGCCTGTGGTTAATTTATTTATGTTTTCAATTTCTGTTGATAATATAATCTAAAACTATAACTGATTTAGATAAAAAGAAAAAACAATCGCTGCAAAAAACGGAACACTGAAATAAAATAAATAATACTTTTTTATTTTTTTCCTTTAAAATAATAAATTAATTAAAAATTGTAAGGGCGGTTAAAAAAGCACGGGAAAGAAAAATAATTCGTGTTATAAGTAACCAGAAAAATTTTAACAATTTAACTGCTTTTTTATGCATTTTAACAAGATAAGAAGTCATTTATTTGCGTAATATTATCGCAATAATATATATAATAATAATTTTTCCATCAATGCAAAATAAAAAAAAATAACTTTCTTCCCCTTCCCTGAGTTATTTCCCTCCTTCCCTGGTGAATTAAGAGTTGACTGAAATATCTATTATTTCGTTAATTTCTTTATTCTGTTATTATCCTTCAAAAATATCTTGATATTATTTGAACAGAAAAAAGGTCATGCATTAAATTTTTTCATATAAAAAATAACGGATTTAATTTTAGGACAACAAAAATATAATCGTGATCGCGTTTTTAATTTTACCGCCTATAAATAATATTAAAAAAAAGTTTCATTATCTAAAACAAGTTTTGGCTTTATTTTTTAAATGATTTTTATTTTAGTTAAAATAAAATTGTCTAATTATATCTAAAAATAAGTGTTTTTAATTTTTTTAATTATTTTTTATTATTTAAATTAAATAAAACTATAAATATTGTTTTTTACTATTTATGGTTTTAGTTGTACTTTTTTAAAGAAAATGAGATAAGCGAAAGAGTAAATAAACGTTTCTCCCTTTGATTACAGTAAATACATTGCTAAGCTACTGAAAAGTGTTTCGTATAATAAATGATGGATATTAGTCCAAAATAGTCTGGATAATTGAACTGTTTATGATACTGGACGTTATGAAAAATTTGAACTCGCATCTATAAGCATAAATAACCATGATTAATTTTGGGCCGATAGGACTTCATAGGAGAAAATCCAGTTTACATCCTTGGGTAGAAAACCCCTCCCTTCATGGACGTTGTTACTAATCCATCAACTTCTACCATCTACCATGGATTTCAATCGAAGTTTAACGAGGCTTGATTGGAACTTATGTATTCTGCTGTTAACGTTTAATTACACTCAAATTAAAACTTTATAAATGTGCTTGACAAATGAATGTAACATCCCGTTTTCACTTAATCGAAGAGCACGTAATTTTTCTTAAGAATTAATGAAGAGTAAACTTGCTCCTGTTCTCCGCTTTAATGGAATATATTCATCTTTTGTCAATTATAAAATCCGAAGCGAAACTGTCTTGTTTGGTTAAATGTAACATTAGCAAACGAATTCTGTTATTCTGATGAAATCTACCGAATGAATAATATAATTTGTTGTAGTTTGACTGTGTTTTCAGTGTAAATTGCACCTTCGGACATTAACTATATTACCATTCTTAATTTTTTATACTTTCAGAAGAATTTTTAAGCCTTACTGATATGTTCGTTAACATTTACATGGATCGATGTCAACACTTGTAAAACAAACATCTTTTAATCTACTTTATTTTATATATAGATTTACACATTCAAAAATGACAGTGCACGGTTTAGTATAAAAATAAGTTTAGTATAGCAGTAATTCCCACGTATCTGCGGGTGATACATTGAAGGCTTTTGATAATGGAGACCGATATAAAAAAAAAAGCAGTAATAATATAGCATGCGTAAATACAGTAAAGTTTAATTGCTAGATTACTGTCGATGCAACATTATAAACGGTAAGTAAAATAATAATAAAGTGTTCTGCAAACTGTATTGTGCATTTACTGTAGAACACATTTCTTTCTCTCTCCCTCTCACGAAAATAAAAATAATGTTTATTCTAACGTTATCAGGATATACATAGAGCTTTGAGTAATGGGAATTCCCCCATTCTATTGCTATCAAAAATCCGCACATACTTTGATATACCTTTGCTTCAGTTATTTCTATCTGGGCCGATTGCAAAATTGTGATCAATTTAACAGCGAATGCTCCTCCTTGTAAAGATAAGGAAAAGGTACGGATGTGATTAATAAATAGTTTTCACTTTAGCTATTAAATGATTCTATCTTGAAGTCATTAATCACTCCCAAATATCGTTATGGTCGCGTAAAAGTGTTCCTGAATGGATTTGGTGCAATCTTAATGTTTCTGTTCGACGTGCTAGAAACTTAATTATGTGCAGTATTTTAATGGATGAACATGAAATTCCACAGGCTTTCAAAGGAAATCGCTCCGTTGTGCTTAAGAAATGTGTACAAGGTTGTTTAAAAAAGGACTGCAGACTGATTAGTAGTTAAAGAAGTTGAAATTTGCTAGTTTGTTCCGTGTTCTGTTGCCATGGTGGAAAGGTTTGGCTGCATGAGCTATTTGTTATTTTTCTCAAAATTAACAAAAATATGGGCTATTCCTTAGAGTAAGCATTACTTTCTTTTAACAGATACCCTGAGGTTCCCTGCCATGCTTAAATAATCCACACCAATTACAAGTTTGAATACTTTCATGGGTTGATCGCAGAATTGTGAGTCCATGTTAAAATATCAGTCTAAAAGCTTTCAGATTTCATATTACGCACAAAGAGGCGTTTTTTTAACGATTTGTGTGCTACCTTTATTTATTAAATATCATGTACTTCGCATT